AGAAATCAGTCAATGGCGCAGTTGATGTCACACAAGGTTCGTTCTGGTTTGATGAGCCTGTATATTTTAAATGAAATCAACGAAATAGTCCACATAGGAATCTGTGGGCTCTATAGGAACGACGGGCTGATAATAGTGCCAGTCAACAGAAGAGTAAGTAACATAAATAGGAAACAATTTTTAAACTTTTCAAGAGCCTCGAAATTAAAATTGAGGTCGAAACGAAGAAAAATATCATCCAATATTTGGATGTCGATTATAATCTGCTAACCAGCAACGTCTCGCCTTACATAAAACTGAAAACAAATTTGAGGTATGTGAACACCGGATCCAACCACCCAGGAGTAGATTGTAGGTTAATCAGAAATTCTTCTTGTAGAACAATTTTTGAAGAAAAATTTTACTTGACTAAAAAGCGTCGAAGGAATTCAGACCCCAAATGAATCAACAAGAATGAGTGAACACGAAATGAGAAATGAAAGGAGAAAAAGAAACATTATTTAGTTTAACCACACCCCTTTTTATTTAAAGGTGAAATGTAACATTTTTTTAGGTTGCTTGATAAGCACTTCCCTAAGAGTTCCGTGTTCAATAGAAATACAGTGAAATTAAGTTACAGTTGTACTATCAATTTGTGTATTTCAATATAAAAGAGAAAACGCCAAGAATTTCAAGGCTGGTGTCCTTCAACGTATGGTGGATATCGAGAAGTTTAACTCTAAAGAAAAAAATAAGTGTCCACTAGGGGGTGTTTGTAAAAAAGAAGAGGTGGCTTCGAAGTGAAGCCGAAGTGAAGGATGAAAATGGCCAAAGCAAGATATATGTAGGGGATACTGAAGATGCCTTCATAAAGTCATCGTTCAGAATAGAAAGCCATAGAAAATATAGCAAGCTGGCCAGCCACATGTGGGAATTAAAAGAAAGAAATAACAACAAAACAAGATGGAAAATACTCAGGAAAGCCAAAAAATACTTTAAGTGCCGTTAGTGATGCCTGTAGGCTGTGTTAGGAAGAAATAATAGCAATAATAAAGTATTCAGACCAAGAAATTTTGTTAAATGAAAGATATGAAGCCATGTCGAGGGTGTAGACAGACAAAAATCTATATTTGGGGGTTATACGAACCCGGATGGGAGTACGTACTTTTTTACACCTCATTCCGTCATACTTCTCAATTCTATCCTCGCCCCTCCACATCTGTAACACTTCCAGTTGTGCACACATAAAACCATGGTAGCAGGTGTGTAAGTGATACCTAACTTTTTAATATTTAATATTATATATATATATATATATATATATATATATATATGACCAAAGTGAGATACATAGTAACAGACTGTGATAAACAAAGTGATACGAAGAGACAGGCATAGATAGATAGATAGATAGATAGATAGATAGATAGATAGATAGATAGATAGATAGCAGAAGACTGAAATAAATTGATAGATAAGATTAGACAGGTAGGTAGGTAAATAAATGGATATGAACAGACAGATATATATATATATATATATATATATATATATATATATATATATATATATATATATTTGTGTGTGTGTGTGCGCTTGTATGTTTGTGTGTGTGTAGGGGGAAATGTGTATGTATATAAATATAAATATACATATTATATATGCGCGGTACTTACTGGAAAGCGCACAATATCAGTGATAGATCTAACATAAATAGTTGGGTTGATGTGAGTTTGTGACGCTGGGTTTCACGCTTTTGCGATCGTCAGACAAGTCAGAGTTTGTGTGACGATCGCAAAAGCGTGAAATTCAGGGTTACAAACTCACATCAATATAACTATATATATATATATATGAGCAGATTGCAATAGATAAAATGATAGGATCAGACTGAAGACTGACAAGCTGAAAAAATGTTAGTTAAATAGACATAAAAAAATGTTAGTTAAATAGACATAATTAATGAAATAGACTGTTATAGATAGTTATTAGACAGATCGATATGAACTGATTGAAAAATATAAGCAGATAGTAATGGAAGTCTGACATGGATAGGTAAATAGATTTATAGATAAAAATATAGGTAGATACAAGCAGAATATATATATATATATATATATATATATATATATATATATATATATATATATATATATATATATATATAGACAGATATAGATATATGTACAAACTGACATATAGAATTATGAATAGATTATCAATCACAGCAATATATATATATATATATATATATATATATATATATATATATATAGAGAGAGAGAGAAAAAAAGAAAGAATGAAAGAGGGATAGGTGATACATAAAAATATAGAATTATAGATAAAATGTTATGAAGAGACGGAATGGGATAGATAGGAACAAACTGGCATAGATATATAGGGGTAGACTGATATATATATACAGACCAACAGATATGAATAGACTGATACAGACATGTGGATAAGAATAACCTTATAAAAATGATAGATAGATAGATAGATAGATAGATAGATAGATAGATAGATAGATAGATAGATATGAACAGATTACCATTATGAATAGATATGAACAGATTAACATTATGATTAGAAAAATAGTTATCTGACACATGCACATACGCACGCATACACACACATATACATATATGAGGGACAGATAGATAAATACATAAATACAGACATATATACACACATACATATTAACAGCATAACATAGATTAATACATGCATACATACATACAGGCATACATATGAACAAACTATCATAGGTAAATCGATATGAACATACTGACATAGATATATATGAATGGACTGACATAGTTACTCAGACTGACATACATGCATACATACATTTATATATATATATATATATAGAGAGAGAGAGAGATTGGTATAAATAGACTGCTATAAATGGATAGATATAACGACTTGAACAGACAAACATAGATCTATTAATAGTCATGTAGACATATGTAGATAGACGAACAGACTGAGGAAGGTTGCTCCGAATAGACTATCATTGATAGATAGATATGAACGAATTTAGATAGATAGGTATACATATAAACATGAAAGTTTATTAATGCCTGAGAAATGACATTAGATATCATTATATATACATACTTCGGTCAATTCACCCGCATATATATATATATATATATATATATATATATATATATATATATATATATATATATATATGTGTGTGTGTGTGTGTGTGTGTGTGTGTGTGTGTGTGTGTGTGTGCGCAATAAAATAATAGCTGGCCACTCTTATTCAAGGATACCAGGGCGCCTAACCAATCCCTAGTGCAGACGTTCGCTCAGGCATATACCCACAGATCCCACCTCTGGTTTATACTGCAAAACCTAAGATATATATATATATATATATATATATATATATATATATATATATAGATAGATAGATAGATAGATAGATAGATAGATAGGTAAAAACCGACAGATATGGATACATAGATCGGCAGACAGACAGACAGACAGATAGATAGATAGATAGATACAGACAGACTGATATATATGAAGACAGATAGACAGACCAACAGATATGAATAGACTGATATATACAGTGGATAAGAATAAGATAGATTATAATAGATAGATAGATAGATAGATGAGAACTAGATAGATAGATAGATAGAAATAGATAGATGACATAAGAAAAATATGAAAAATATGAAAGATATGAATAGACTGATATATACAGTGGATAAGAATATTCTCATAATATATGGAATATTAGTGTTTAAGCCTTTTTATTATATCCTTACTCTGTCCTAGACATTGAGTTCTACCTGGATCCTTCCTCTTGGAAAATTTTTTTCTGAAAATATACATGTATGGGAATTTTTTAGATATATTTTTCATATGTATGTATATTTTCCATAATATTATCTATATATATATATATATATATATATATATATATATATATATAGATAGATAGATAGAAAAACCGACGGATATAGATACATAGATCGGCATAAAGAGAGATAGATAGATAGATAGATAGATAGATAGATAGATAGATAGATAGATAGATAGATATGAACAAACTGTTAGAGAATCATCGTTATGATTATTGACATAGTTATAAATGAACAGACTGGTGTAGTTAGATTATATAGATATACAGACCGATATGGATTCACACACACACACACACACACACACACTACATATATATGTGTGTATATATGAAAGGACATATGTAGATAGATGAACAGACTGACATTGATATGAAGATATTTATATAGATAGGTAGACATATAAGAACAGACATATATATGCGTATAGATAGATAGATAAATCTAAATATATTGTCAGACTGACACTAGATACATAGACATATATCTACAGACATGCCACATATGACTAAATTACCTTGGTCGGCAGATCGATAGACAAATATATATATACACAAATATATATATATATATATATATATATATATATATATATATATATATATATATATATATTCCGTGTGCACAACAATATAATTGTATGTATATATATATATATATATATATACCAGACTGGACAGATATATATATATATATATATATATATATATATATATATATATATATATATATATATATATATATATATATATGAACAGACACACACAGATAGTTATATAGATAGTTATGAACAGAGTGCCATTAATAGTTAAATATGTTGAATGATATGGACAGGCCGACATTGATAGATAGATATCAACAGATTTATATGTATAAATAGATAGATAGATTAACAGATAGATAGATCGATAAATAGATATGTATATGACCAGAGTGATATTGACAGGTAGATAAATAAATACATAGTTATTTATATCTGACCAGACTGAGATAGATAGATAGATAGATAGATAGATAGATAGATAGATATGACAGACCTACATAAATATATAGTTAGATATATGTGTATAGATTTGTTACAAATCGATCTATCGATCGCTCAATACATAGATAGATAGATAGGACTGATTGACATAAATATATAGTTAGATATATGTGTATAGACTTATTACAGATCAATCTATTGATCGATCAATAGATAGATAGATAGATAGATAGATAGATAGATAGATAGATACATAGATACATAGATAGATAGATAGGAGCTCACCTGTGATTTGTGCTGCAAAAGTATACACAAATATTTTTTCACTTTTATTTAAAATATTTTTGTTTTTTACATGTAGCTTTAGGCTTAGTTATCTAACACACACACGCACGCATAATTTATTAAGAAATGACTATTCCTGTAATGGTGACTGTCTCAATTAAATACAAAAAAAACTTTAATAGCATCAATAATTATAATATTAATTGTGCAATTTTAAAAAATGCTAATGTGTCGTTTGATGAAATAAATATATATTTATTTACATAAGTCAATAAGAAAACGCCAATTTTATTTAAGCAGTCGTCATGGTTAGCGACAAGAACGTTTCAAATTTCCAGTTCCTCCTTGCTTTCATAGTTTTTTTTTTCTTTCTTGTATTTCTTTCTTAAATAAAATCCTATAAAAATGCTACAATTGGTAAGAGTAAAATTTCGTGGTTCTGCCGTGGCGCAGATGTTGAATTCGAATATATCTAATCACAATACTGATGTCAACGAATTTATTTTCATTTTTAACTATTCTTAGATAGATAAACAATACGGGGCACAAATGCCAAGAATATGACGCAGTGACCGAAACGCAGCCATATGTGTATACACGTGAATATATTTCGTCTTTAATGGAGAGATGAAATGAGACGAAACAGAAAAAGTAACTTACGAATCGTTGGTTTCGGACCCCAGCCACTTTTTGCGGAATCTGAAAATTAAACAGAAAACTAAGTTTGTCTTTTTCCTATGGCAATCCTGAGGAGATCACCGATCTAGTTACTGACTAGTATCGATATTGCTTAACTTCGGAGATGATACCAAAACCGGTGTTTCAACGTGATATTACCGCAAGCCGTCGAGATTTCAAAAAGAAAACACCTTGAGATACGAGAGTCTCGACTTACGAGTTTTTTGAGATACACGCCGGAGTTTGAGCGATTTTTGCCTTGAGATACGAGTGCGGTTCAATTAAGCATCCCAATTACTCGTGTTCACCTTCTGTTTTGCAAGGATCTCTGTTGTGTTGTGTCTTTTTTGCCTTTATTTTGCAAAATTTCTTTAGTCACACCATGGGTCCGAAGAAAGTAAGTGTAAAGAGTAGTGGCGAATATTTAGTGGCTTGGACCGGTTCGGAAATATTCCCATTAATTTCAATGGGAAACATTGATTTGAGATACGAGTCTTTTGAGCTACCGACTCGGTCTTGGAGCGAATTAAACACGTATCTCAAGGCATTATTGCACTGCCATTATTTTTTTAAAATAAATCATAAACATCGTTTTCATTTGTATGCTTGTTTTTTGTCCGAAACTTTAGCTTCTAAAACTTTTATATAAGTCATATATGCGAAAATTATTTCGAGGTTTAATTCCATAAAATAAGTATAAGCGAAAAGGAAAAAAAAGCGAGGTATTTAAAATCAAATCGAAACAACGAATATTGTTTGCAGTAGGATAAGAAACCAAAAAAAATTCATTTTTGACAGGATCAGATAAAAAAAATTGAAATCAGTTTTCTTTAAAATTTAACATCAGATTAGTTCACTTATTTCTAACATCTGATATACGACGCCCCCCCCCCGACGAAACAGCTGATTTATCTCCCCTCTTTTTAACACATGATTCACTCTGACAAATTTTTATTTTATTTTGAAATGTTGTCATTGATGAAGATGAGAAAATTAATGCGTGATTCTCAGAAAAAAATCATTCTCATTTGGAATTGGCCGCTGATTTCATTATATTTCTTACCAAATGAAAAAATGACGACGTAATTGAAAAACATCATTTACACTATTTACATTATTCGGACTATTGTCCACATCTTCGTTGCCATATTCACGACATTTCGGCTGTTGTGCGCTCCGGCCTTCTTCAGGTAAGGACAACAGTTAGAACAATGTAAATAATTATAATACCTCACCAAAGAAATAGAGACAGATATAAAAAAAAAAAAACAGTTTTAGTATAGGGGATAATACTGTTCAATTCTACGCACAATTCCCTACACAAAAATCCTTTCCACAAATATATATATATAGCCCTATGGATAAACTGTCGTCTAAATTACGTGAAAATGAAAATAACATCTCGTTTTACCATATACCTCGAAATCTCATCTTACCATATATTTACCAAAATTACAGAAAAAAAAAATTCAATACAATCGCTATTGGCGTCAACCATGGGCTTCGGAATCTCCTGCAACTCTTCTGAACAGTTCCCTTGTTTAAGTTGGTGAATGCTGCAATAATCCTTGCCTTCAGTTCAACTTTGGGGTTTGTTACAAGGAGTTTTGTTCGTCTCTCGCTCAACTCATAATAATCAAGGGGATTGCAGTCTGGGGAGTTTGGTGGCCAGATATAATCGGATGATGTGGTCACAGAAATTGTATGACGGCCATGATTGGATTCTCTTGCTTGTGTGGCATGGTGCAGAGTTCTGTTACCAGACATAGTGTCTTTCAAGAGAGCAAAACCTCCCGAAGGTACTTGATGTAGGCCCCCGTGTTGATTCTGAGGCTACCTAGGAAGATGAATGGAGGCAGAACATATCCATCACTACTGATCACTCCAAACACCTTCGTAATCACCGTTAGACTCATCCAAATCCTTCCCAATCCCCTGCACTGTCAAACACTGAAATGTTCGTATTGGAGATTCCAGCGTTAATGGTAAGCAGCACAGCATGCAATTTCCAATATATATCTGTGCGTATATCAGTAAATAAATATCTATATATAGTTTGGTTGATTAACGCACAAAACTAATTGTCTTTAGTGAGTGGTTTACCGTATTTCCTTAAATTCCCAAATAAAGCGGACTTTGGGTTTGAAATTGCTTTTTTATTTGGGCTCGAAAGGACATCATATAAGATACTGATAACTTATCCTAAAAATAAATCATCTCGTTCTTACACACACACACACACACACATGCACACAGACGCGCACGCGCACACATCCACACACACACACACACACACACACATATATATATATATATATATATATATATATATATATATATATATATATATATATAGATAGATAGATAGATAGATAGATAGATTGGTGTAGATGGGATAAAATTTCGATCACCCAAAACTCAGTTCTTAAATGTATATAATAAAATATATATAACTGCTTGTATAAGTCATATAGAATTACGTATATTTATATATATATATATATATATATATATATATCCGAGTTACCCAGAAACTACCTATCTACCTAGGTTTTCACCTAAATGGATATTCCGGGTAAGCTGATATATATATATATATATATATATATATATATATATATATATATATATATATTTATTGTATTTAGCAGCAATCCCTCATTTATACATGTTTATTAAAGACGTCAAACAAGGTACTGCGATTAAGCTTTTTATTTATTTTTTCTTGTGTTCGACCAACTTTTCTTTTCTGGACACAAAGTGTGTAGAAATTATCCAAATGTTCTGTAATTCCGAGCGCTTTCAGCTATAAGTTTACCCATTATCAAGGATGATTTTATTTTTAACTGGATATGTGTGTATGTATCTAGAGTCATAGGGATATCTCATTTTCCGAAGAGAATTAGAACATTGCAGCCGTGTTCATAGTTAATATTACTGAGTGTTGGCTTTTTGCTTTTTTATTAATAAAGGTTCCATTATTTTAAATATCTTTTTTTATGTGGATGAGGTTATTATGCTTGTATTTTCAATTAGTATGTTCTGGATGGTGTTCTGGATGTAAGTTTGTGTGCGTGTTTAGATGTGTTCTGATGGAACTGTGATCGGATAGGTGTAACGTAAGGTGTCTAGATAAGCATGTAGTAATGTGACCGATGTAATTATTTTTGAGTTCGGTTTGATCAGGAACGCTGTTACTTAAGGCACATTTGAACTCGTAAACAATGTTTGTTCTTCGTAGTTTTGATTTTGCAAATGTGTCGTTATTTTTGAGAGTAAAGTTAGGAAAACCATTGTTAACTAATTGTTTTGAATTGTTGAGCTATTTAAGGAAATATAGATGAGAGGATGAATTTTCGTGTGCCCTCTTTAGGAGGTTTTTATCACTGCTATTTTGTATCTGAGTGAGCATTCACTCTTAAAATTATGGTGGCAAGAGTTTCTGCTAGTGTGTTTTTTATACAATAACGTGGTAAAAATGTTGTTACTGTATTCTGTGAGAACATCTGAGAATGGGAGTTTATTTTTTTGACTACGTTCGTAGGTAAAGTTAAGGGCAGAGTTATTTCAAATGTGTGTTTGAGACTATCTATTTCTTTTCGGCTATTCGCTAAAATAGAAATATTGTCTATGTAGTGGATATATATTTTAGGTTTACAAATTTTTAAATATCATGTTTTCTACATGGGACATGGAATAATTGGTAAAGCAAGGGACCAACAGATACCACCCGAAATATACTAAATAGAAAATACAAGCAAAATAAACTCATCCACATGCAAAAAAAAAAAAAAAAAATTAAAATAATGGAAGCCTTAATAATAAAAAAAAAAAAAAAAAAGAAAACGGATAACACTCAGTGTTCATCATATTAACTATGAACACGGCCACATTGTGCTGACTGGGTTCGTAAATGAAAACATCCCTATAACTCTGGATACATACACACAACACACACATTCAGTTAAAAATAAAAAAATAAAATAAAATAAAATCATCCTTCATAATACGCTCGGAATTAGACAACATTTGCACATTTATGAAAATAGAAAATGTTTTTCGAGTCACCCCTTTTTCGTTCTGAACATTTTAATCGGAATAAAATGATATGTACATGTGTGTGACTAAACATGCGTACAAAGGAGAGGGGCGCTGAGTATTCATTTATCTGTTTTTTGTTTTTTTTT